GTTCAGCCCTCCTCAGTTGAGCACATCCCCCACCTCCATCAGTTCAGCCTCCCCGGCCTCACCTTTGCCTGCTGGGTTCTTCACCCCCCCCCCCCCACACACACACACCTGGGAGAGGCTGCAGCAGGAACTCCTCTGTACCCCTGCCCCTCCCCAGGCTGAGTGTTGCAGGGGCAGAGTAGAGGGCTGTCCCCACTGCTCACAGGAGGGAGCAGAGCTGCTGAGCTCTTGCTGCTCCCTTCCCTCCTCTTGCGAGAGTTGCTTCTGGGTAGCTGAGGGAGCTCTTTCTACAGCAGCTCTGACTGTTGCTGGGCCCCAGGAGGCAAGTAAGGGGGGCAGATAGCCAATCGGGGGGCTGGGCTCAGTCCTTCAGGCAAGGCTCAATCTTGTTAGCAGCCTGGAGCTTTTTGCCTCGTCTCTAGCCAGGCTTCAGCCCAGCCAGAATCCCCTCGCTGGGGGGCATGCCATGGCAAAACCTGGCAGCACCACTGGTGAGGGGCCTTGCTGGCTGATATCGCTCAGCCATGACAAACCTGAGCAGTCGGCCAGCCCATGTCAAGGCGGGGCAACCTTTGCCTGGGAGGGACACGGAAAGGGGCCTGGAGCTGGGCTGTGCTTTATGAAGGGCTTCGTCACTTTCATCTGTAGTCCTGAGGTGCAGCCCATAGAGACACACAGATCACCGTGCCTTGCTTCGTTCAGTCCAAGCAGAAGGTTACACTGCATGCTGGGAGTGCCTCCTGCTCTATTGTTCTGGCGTGTGACCCAGGAAGGGGCTCGCTCAACTACAACTACGGAGGGTTTGTCTGGAGGAGGGGCAGCCACTGCCATCCTAATGCACCTGCTGCTGCACTGAGGGCTGGTATGTGTCGCTCGGGATTCCACAGTTGCTGGTGAAGAGCGTTTTCATTGGGGTTGCTTGGAGATTATACAGGGACCTAATGGCTGGCCTCTGGTGCTTTTCTGTATCAGGCCCACTTCAGCTTCCTATGGGATTGAATGAGCAAACCTGGCCCATCGCACCCTGCCTGGTCGCATATCACACAGGGGGCATCCCTTCCTCTGACACTGACCTTGGACCTCCTTCCTTCCTGTCTCAGAGGGAGGTGCTCCTCCTGATGGGCTGGTGCTGGGCAGGCCTCTTTATCTCTTCTGCTGCCTTTCAATTCTAAGACTCAGCTGGCTTGGAAAGGGTCACATGTCCCTGCTATGAACAGGAGAAAGGGAAAGTGGCATATTGTTGTCTCTCCCCTCCCCAACACCACACTTATCTCTCCAGTTAAGAGAGTATCTTCCTCTGTGCCAGCCAGACTGCTTATTATTCACTGAGTAGCAGGCTTGCTTAACATCCAAAGTGGCAAAAGAGGTGGGGGCCTGGGAGCTAGGTCTAGTTGCAAGAGGGGCGTTCAGCCTCCATGATTCAGTTCTCGGTCCCTCTGCTGCCACTGTCAGGTGGGTCGTGGAACCCATCTTTCACTAACGAGGACTGAGACCATCCCATCCCCACCTGCAATGGGCCACTGACATTGTCTGTAACATTCAGACACTACCAATTTAGATGGGAGCTGGTGCTATAGACACAAAAGGCTCTGTATCTTGTTACTAATCTGCTAAACCAGCCAGTCCCCTGACCCACTTGTAACCTTCAAGTGAAAGGCCCGGTGTCTTCTTCCCAGTCCCTGGAACTGTCCCCATCCTCTAGAAGCAGCACTGAAATTAGATTAATTCATGTGTTGGGCCTGTATTTATTCTGCATGGATGGTGCCTTCAATTAGTCCTCTTAAGGCACCAGTCATTTACTGTGGAGGGAGGTTACAGGCTATATTATCCATAGGAATTATCAGTAGTCAGGGTGGCTAAAACAGAGAATAGAGACCCATGGATGGAAGGCAGAACCAGGGCTCAGTGAACATGATAGACTGAAACAGGATGGGGCTATCTTGAGGAGAAACATGGTCACACTCAGCTAAGGACAAAAACACTTAGAGACAGTAGCTTGAGGCCTTGGGGCTTGTCCTGATGAGCACAGGGCCACGGCAAGAAAGAGAGAAGGGAGACAGACGGAGCCTTGCTTGTTCCATATTGTCCTTCAGGGCTATTTGGAAGCCTTCCTGGCACTGGCTGGGAGATGAAAGCAAAAGGATTATCCCTGGAATGAGATTATTAGATTGAAGATTTAATCTCTGACCCTGTCAGCACAAAAAAAATAGCAAAACTCCCTGGGATTATTCGAGGTTGCATAGGGAAATAAAACCATCCCTGGGAGGAAGAGATTCTGCTGGATCCAACAGCAATTACTGCATGCATCCAGACCGGCCCTCTCTGACCTATCATGCGGCTGATCCTGCAGTGATGACCTAGCGGGTTTATGGGGGATGCCAAGACTTTCCTCAACAGATACCTTGGGCTTTCGTGTCTACTCTAGCTCAACTACAGCCTCGTCATGCAGCACAGCTGTGCCCTGATGCAATCCATGGCCCAAGTGGCTCCATACAGCAGAGCTGGACTCAAGATTCACAGGTGAAATTGTGTTTAGTGATATTCTTTTCTTCCGGACAGCCCCAGATCAGAGAGAGAAAGCCTCCAATCTCCGCCATCACCAGACAGGAAAGGCACCTCCCTACTTTCCATCTGTCAGAGCACCCTTCCCCCCAACACATGCATCTCACAGACTGATGCTTTGGCAGGGTTACTCTAAGCATATGTGATTATTTGTAAGCCCCCAGCAGCACTAATGAGCAGAGAATGTGCCCAGTGAGTGAGATTATGCATTCTGGGGAATCCTGTGCAATTTGGACTCTGTGCAACCTCCATGAATGGGCTTATGTTTTTAAATAAATTAAGACAATGTCCCACCATCTGTTGCTGCAGGCAGAGGAGCCTCAGTGCAGAAGCAGGCAGCAAGCAGGCAGCCAAAGAGACAGTTACTGTGACTATTTTACCCATTCATCCAGTGGCCACACGCATGCAAGCTCATTCCCATCACACACACACACCTGCAATGTTCCTATTGCTCAGTATGCCATGTGCATGCACACTTATCACACACACATGCATCAAGTTCCTATCACTCAACACCTATGCAGGCATTCTCATCACACGCATACACAGGGGCATCCATGCACACTCCCTCTCATCACTCACACATACACACGCTGTTCCATCACTTCACACATTCCCATTGCACACACACACACACAGGATATGCAAGCACACACACACCCGTTGCTTAGGGACATGCCTATACAAACACTCCCATTGCATGCACACATACACTCCCATCATACACATGCATATATAACTAGCTAGGGTTCTGTACTGTGCTCATCACAGCAGTATCTATGCACTGCATACACACACCGTCTGCACACACACATCACAGGCCTGCACGTTTGCTTGAGTATCATGTGCAACTACTTGTACATACACTTTCCTTTCACCTCTGGTGGGCACATCCACATACCTATAGTAGTACTGCGTGCACACACAGAGAGCTCTCCCATGCAAATAACCATGTGCCCGCTCCCATGCATTCCCTACACACACACCCTTCCGCCCACACACTCCTGTCCAAATGCTCTCATACACGCACACTCTCATATATGCTCCCACTGCTGGAATGTCAATTACAGAGTGACTGGCACAGCAACAAGCAAACATGAAGCAAGATAAAATCTTCATTCTGGGTATTGCATCTTTGGGACAGACAGAATTTTGGAACCTGGCAGTCTAAGGGGAAAGAAAAGAAATAGCAACATTGGGCTAGTAGGAGGCTCTTGTGTCTCAGCCCCTACCCTGGGAAGAGGGACAGCCAAGGATAAGAAAATGCTCCCAGGAGACTCCGAGAAATCCAGAGAGAGGGGACGATGCCCCTTGGACTGCAGGAGGAACTAGACCCAATGACTGAAAGCCCCAGCCTAGAGAAATGGGAATGTGAATGGGGCAGCCCCAGCATTTGCCTGAGACACAGAGAGTGTGTGTGTGTGGGGGGGGGGGAGGGGGGGCCCTTATCCTAGGGGGGGCCTAGGATAAAGAGAAGGGAAAGAACAGAGGGGGTATGCACCTGATGCTATAGAAGAGGGACAGGAAGAGCTTGGAGGCCAGTATCATGGTACATACTGCAGAGTCACATACTGTGTTCTAGGGTGCACTTTTTAGTAGGCAACAGACAGACAGAGTCTCTGTATTCTGGATGACCGTACAGCCTCAGACACTGTAATCCCTGGTGTAACTCCACTGATTTAAAGGGATTTCCAGCAAGGAGGAATTTAGCCCATTAAGTCTTTCGTACCTGGCAGTGTGTATATCTTGTGTTTGTATTACGCTGCCTGTGGCTAGAATGGCTGGAGGTATCACTCACCCTGAACAGCACCCAATCACCAATCCTGCAACAAGCAGCACCTACCTCCCCTGGCTCCAGCTCATCCCCCCAGCCACAACATGGGTCCCAAAGTACTCTGGTTGGAGTGGCTCGGTTGGCAGATGCTCCTCCCTCCAGCCCGCCCTTCACCTCCCACAGAAAGGCCAGGGCTGCACACACAGCTTCAGTTTGCACATTTATCACCTTTTTTTTTTCCAGACATGTATTTGTAGTGGCTCTCGGTAAACGTAACCACAGAAGACACGAGAATGTACCAGGGAGGCATAAATAACTCCAGACAGACACACAGCAAACACGGACACAGTTCACCAAGGGAATCCAACAGGTGCAGAGCGCGACCTGCTGCAGCCACCAATCCCAGATGGCTTTGCTTTCATCCCCCAGTCCAAGAGGCTCTCTCCTTCTTTTGCTTTGCAGAAGTCGGTGGGAGAATAAAAGCAGGAGGGGAGGAGTCTAAAGTTGCAAACATCTCATGAAAACATCGTGGCTTGTCCTGGCGCTGCAGTTTCCTGCTGTTGCCTTCTTGGAGGAACAGTTCCAGTTATAGGACATTATGAGTCTTTCACAGTGTGAAAGGGTGGAGGAGTGTGGGGACCACTTTGGGGCAGGAGAGGCAGGTCATCTCGCACTGTCACAAATGCATCCAGCCTATAAACCTTTGCATGGGAACATCAGGGCTAGATGCTCCACTCAGGTCTCTTCTGCCCTCACTGAGGTGCTGGTTCCTCTTCAGATGAGTGTAATCTTCAACGGGACATCATCCTAACAAACTCTGCAGCCATTGACAAACAGAGAGGCTAGAGGAGAACACACCAACTGCACCAACACATTCCCATCCCACCTCTCATCATCCTGAGACACTATGCAGCCAACAGGAAAGCCCCACCCGCACTGCTCACTAGTTTGATTTCTTTACTGACATTGGAGAGTTTACGCAACGTAAACGTAGGATCCCACTAGCCAGGGCAGTTCATAATTTGGGACACCTGCCCTAGAATAATGTAATGTCTCATTTCCACACTAAACTCTTTGCTGGACACTGACACAGTATGTCTACACAGCAGCTGGGAGATGTGATTCCCAACTTGAATAAATGTAAATGCACTAGCTCTGCTCGGGCTAGCACACTAAAATAGCAGTGTGGCCACGGCAGCATGGGTAGCAGCTCAGGCTAGCCGCCTGCGTATGTACCCAGGGGGCACTGGGGAGGAAACAAAAATCCACCATTGGGCTGCACGTGGCCACAGAGAAGTTTCTCCTCTGACATAGGGACAGTCTGTCCTAGTATGTGATCCATGGAGGCATGCTTAACACTGAGATGCATTGAGAAGAGTTGTACAGCCAGACACCACTAACCAGGAATTTCCTACACCAGCCATCTCTCCCCCAATAGCCTTATCCTAACTAGGGAGAATCCCAGGGGATTCTGATCCAGCTGCCTCTCACCCCATTCCACAGATACCTGGGCCTCTTAGAGCATAGAGATCATTTTCCTTCCTCCATTCCTGGAGCAGGGCAATGACCCAGTCTCTGATCCGAAATCCTGCCTGACCCCCGTAAAGATGAACAGTAGCGCATTCTCTCTCACCTTCAAAATCCACGTGCCCATCTCCGTTCAGGTCCACATCTCGGATGATCTCTTCAATATCCCGATGGCCCACCTGCTGCCCCAGAAGCTTCTTCATGGCCTCCCGCAGCTCACTGGTGCTGATCTCTCCATCCCCATTGGTGTCAAACTGCAGGGAGACAACAAACAATAGCAGAAACAGCACAGTCAGCTGGAGTGGACCCTGACTTGCTTTCTTGGGTCCCTACAGTCTCCAGACTTGGGTCCCATGTTTTCCCCTCCGGAGTGCACATATTTGTCCATGAGGTCCCCTGAGTCCCTCTTGGCTCTCTCTTTCCTTCCTTAGGCATCTTCTCTCCTCCTGCTCTGATGCCAGTCTGCTCCCTCAGGTCCTTTTCCTCTCCTCACAGACTCCATACATTATTGCTGTGCTTGGCCCATCTTCCTCCTTTGTTCCCTTTCAGGCCTTTGCTCTCCTTGTGCTCCCCTCCTTTCCATACTTGGTTTCTCTTCTTTCCTTCTCAGGGCCCTCTTTACTGTATATGCTCGCTCCTCCTCCTCATTCCCCCACTGATCTTCTCTCTTTCCTGCCTCTGCTCTCCCCTTCTCTCCACTTTTACTACATGAGAGGGGGCGCTCATCTCTCTGAGGGGGGTCCCACAGCACAGGGGGCGCTCACCTCTCTGAGGGGGTCCCACAGCACAGGGGGCATTCACCTCTCTGAGGGGGTGATGCAAACGGGGAGCGCTCACCTCTCTGAGGGGGGTCCCGCAGCACGGGGGGCGCTCACCTCTCTGAAGGCATCACGTAGCTCCTTTACACCAATCATATCTGCAGTTTCTGCCAAAAGCTTTGGTCCCATCAGCTCCACAAAATCTTCAAAATCCACATGGCCGCCCACTTGGGACCAAGGGGAAATTTGTGTGTAAGACATTAATACGCCCTTTTTCCTTAGCCCAGCCGAGCACCCAAGGTAACACATCCACACATGGCTTCCACTGGAGATCAGCCACCCATGGGAGGGTCAGGGTCTGACTCTCCAGGAGGCACAGCACAGAGAGTGCAGTTCAGGGGGAGGAGAAGCAAAGGTGGCTTTACACCATCTTTGCACCCTCTGGATTCTGGACGGGGCTGAAAGGGTCCCAGCTCCTCTAAATTACAGCAGCCCATCCCAGGCTGCCTATGGGCAGCAGGCAGCTCAGAATCCCCACAGCACTGTGTGCTATGGATCTGTTCCCAGCATACATCATCCCTCAGGGCTTGTGAGCGGGCAAGCACATGGCAGCCCTGCGGGTGTGTCTGAACAGAGGGAATTCTGCCTCAGCCAGTTGCATCTCCTGTATGGGCCCTATACTGCACTGGAGCAGGGGAGAAAATCTGTCCCAGAAGCTCAACACCATAGCTGGACAAGCTATTTGTAACAAACAGTGTATTCAACAAATTAATGCATTTTCCTGTTTATGAAGTAGCTGCAATTGGTGAGGAGTTCCTCAAATTCCTACCTGTTTGTCAGATCACCAGACTGACCTAATTATACAGCCTGTGGATCACCAGACCGCCTGACCTAGTTATACAGCCTATGGATCACCACACCACCTGACCTAATTATACAGCCTGTAGATCACCAGACCGCCTGACCTAGTTATACAGCCTATGGATCACATGGCAACCAGTGCCCTGGTTATCTGCTATTTGTTATGTGTTATTTTCACATAGTACTGTTTCTGCTCTCTCTCTGGATGATTAACACTTTCTAGCCCAGGGAGTACAACAAATAATGCCTAGTGAATATTCCTGTGGGCACCATACAGCACTGCTGCAGACAGGTATAAGGACAAAGAACTGACGATAGAAGGAAAGGACACAAATACAGCCATATCCGATCACAGACAGGTTTGTGAATACACTTCCCCATTATTCCACCTTTCATGTGACAGCAGATGGACAGAGGGTAGCCCCTCAGCCCATCACTCCCCACACACCAGAGCTATCTCCTCAATACACTCACACCTCAAGCTAAACACCCCAGCACTCTGTTCCGACATAGCCCCACCCTCACACCAAAGGATCTCCCTACTCTCAACACCCAGTCTCCCTCCTCAGCACACACCGCCTAGAGACCAGGTTCAATACAACAACATGCCGCAGCTGCACACCAATGCCTTAAACACCCATATCAAGGGCAACACCAAGGGCAGTCCTATGTTGGTGTGTCTGTCTCAACACATTGCTCTTATACCTCACTAACTATCTACAAACCCAGATAGGTTGGTAGGCTGGAGACAAGCAAACTCATGCCCAGAGAACTAGTCAAACAGACAGATGGACTAGCAGAGAGAGTGGGTGACAGACAGGCAGGCAGGTAGCCAGGAGAACAAGAGGAACAGATGAGAGCAAGAGACTGACAGCTAAAGCCCAGCGTACGGAGGCGGAGAATGGCAGTGACAGGGGAACATGCAAGTGAGGGGTCACACTCACAATTCATGTTGATCTGCTGGGATAGCTCTATGAGCTCCATCTCGGTAGGCATGTAGCCCATGGTCCGCATGCAGTTCCCCAGGTCCCTGCAGTTGATAAACCCATCCTTGTCTTTATCAAACTCCTTGAAGGCTTCTCTTAACTCTGTCAGGGTGAATCCAATAAGGACACTGTTGTCAGTGATGGTGTTAGACACAGTTCCCAGAACACCCCCACAAGGAGTCAGCAGCACTCTGGGATGCTAGGAAGGTGCACATTCCCCCTGCAGATTCCCCGGAGAGAAGCTAGAACTGGAGGAGCTCTGAGCTCCACCCCGCTAGCACTTCTGCACCATTCCCTACAGCAGTCCCTGCTCAGACTGCAGAGTCTTTGAATGGTCAGATAGTCAGCACTCCTACACTATGTTCTACAGCCCTCCTGCAGGAGATGGAGCAAATGTGATCTCCCCCAAAATCATCACTACAACACTACACTCTACATCCCCTCTGTCAGGAGATGGAGTGAACGTGAGCTGCCCCAAAGTCAGCACTTCTGCACCGTTCCCTATGATATCTTCTGCAGGGAGTGGCTAGAATGGGAACAGCTATGAGCTCGTCTACCTAGTTTTACCCCAGATTTCTCCCCGCTGTGATCAGTCTGGCCAGCAGTATATTTTCACTGAGCAGAGAGAAAGTGAGACATGGAGGAAGGGTCAAAGTTTTACCTTCAATTTCTTCTGGTCGCAGTTCTCTGTCCTGCAATGAGAGAACATCTTCCGTTAAACCCAATCATTTGATAGGAAAGTGGTGTCAGAATAGCACTTATGAGTACAGGCAGGTCTGGGAGCATCACGCACAAGCAAGAAAGTGACAGAAGAAACAAGAAGGTGATGACATGTTTAATCCTATCTACCTGGTAAGGCTTTGACATCACTCCCTTTCCTATTAGGAGGGTGCCAGCAGCTGCCTGCATACTTCTCTGTGGAAGCCCATCTCCATTTCGCCTGCTGGCCAGGTGGCTAAATAGAGGTGTTGTTCCACACCTAAGGTCCAGGGCAACACAGGCTTCTCAAAGGGACTCCAGCACTCCACTTCAGATGGATGAGCTGGCACTGAGAGCCTCCACCGTGTGCCTGTATCATTCCCCTACAGTGACTCTGGGTGGCAGAGTCTGGCACTGCTGTAGTTCGGAGCTCCTCTGAAGCTCTTACCGTATTCCCTACAGCAACTCCTGCTGGGAACGTCTGGGTCTGGAAACAGCTGCGAGCTGCCCCACAACCAGCAAGCCTATAGTGATTGCTGCTGGGAGGGAGAGCAGCCATGAGCTCTCCCAATCCTATTCCCTAGAGCCACTCCCGTAGGGAGGGACTGTAACTATAGAAGCAGTGAGCTCACCCCAGATACAAACATTTCAAACCCAAGCATGTAGGCAGAGAAACAAAATATACAGCAGCAAGGTCATCTACAAACAAAACAGGCAAGGATTCACCATGATCAGGAAACACTGCAACTTCAAACATCTAATTTGGTTTGATTTTTTCAGAGAGGGGAGGGATGTAAAAGAGTATAGGAAAACTCCAGAGACTGCATCAAGAGGAAGAAAAGATGAGTGTGGAAATGCACTGCTTTCTGGTTACTAAAAACCCCTTCTAACTCCACTCATGGCTCCCAGGCAAATCCAGAATATCTGAGAATTTGGAAACAGAGACAAAATTTCCCTTCTTGTCTGAGTCCTGGCTTCTCCCCTCATCTCCCAGGGGTCTGCAGCCTCATCACAGGTCCCTGGAGACTGTGCCCTTGATCTGTTTCATAAGGATGAGCTCTTGCTAATTAACCGCAGGCTTCTGTGGTAACTCTAGCGGCGGCTGCCCGGAGAATACAGCAAACTAGGACACACACTGGTTTACGTCTGTGCAAAAAGGGGCTGTGCCAGAGAAATGATCCGCTTGTCATTCATAACCTTCCCAGAGGCATCTCTGTGCTGCATGGAACTTTCAGAGAGCTCTAGCTCTGCAGTTTCATCCTTCACAGATCCGGTCATTTCAAACATGTCATCCCATTTCTTCTGCTTTCATAGACACTGATTTGTAAAAGAGTTCACACTCTTTAAAGCAGGCACAGGAGGCCTCATTGCCTTCCTATCAGTGATATCATAATGAATTACAGTAACACAGGGCTTAATCTGTGCCAGAGCTTGCCAGGGCTGAGCCCCAACACCTCTGGGCTTGGCAGTTCATAGCCCCGGTATCTCTGGGCTTGGCAGTTCATAGCCTCGGTATCTCTGGGCTTGGCGCGTCAGTTATGAAAGTAAAATAATTGCTTGAGCCCCAGCACCTCTTTCATTACAAATTAAGCACTGTTTGCATATCTCCAGCCAAGAGTCTCCAAGCTCTTTATGAACTTTAATGACCCCAGGAGTCCTTCTTGAGCACCACCAGTCTGATCAGGAATGTTCAAGATATAGAGGTATCATCATCAACTCCATTTTACAGAACAGTGAATTGACTCATGCAAGGTTACTCACTGCATCTGTGGCAGCATCTGGCTGATAACACAGGTCTCCTGCCATCTAGGCCTGTGCTTTAACCACTAGACCAGGCTGTACCCCGTTATAGCCAGCATCATTAACACACCAGAATGTCCAAGAGGAAGTCTCAAGACTTCTTCAGCCTGGCCTCTATTTTTGGACACAGAGGCATCTGCATGTGCAGAGATGTGAGCACTTCTTTGTGTGTGCAGATTCTATCATTGGAGGGAGCCAAAGACTGTATGTGCAAAAGAAGAGGCCACTCCAGGTCCCTTGGAAAATCTAGCCCAAACTGTAACTGGTGTCATGAGGAGATTTTCTGTTTTAAAGTCCAAGGAAGCTCCCTTAAAAATTATTAAATAGGAAAACATCTGCTTAAGAAGAAATCAGCTGAAGCAGTGTAAAGCTTTCTGAGGAGAACATATGGAAAAAGAGATACACCTGTTCAAAGAGCTCAGGTCCTAGGAATACACTAGAGGTGATCATCAACCACTCCATCATAAGAAACTTTCTGGCATTAATTTATTTCTGTCCTATGCACACAAAATCCTGCTGGTCTAAAGAGCCAATGAGGAGAACAGCTGTTTATAAATACATTCACTGCGCACCAGGGCTGTTGTCAGAGATGTCTGTGCTCCTCCCTTTGGAGCCTCTTGGGATATTATGAATTTCCAGGCTCTGAACATGGTGGATATAGTCACCTGCAAGCTATTGACATTCTAAATGGAATGTGTATCCAGTTCTTTATATAAGCACATATGATTTGGTAGATGTTTGTGTGCCAGTATATACATATGTGTGTGTGCACTTGCTTGAGAATATTTCTGCATGTGTTTTAATGTACTGGCTAATGGAATATGTGATTGTCTGCTAGTGGTTGGAGGCTGCAGAGAATAAAAACTTACAGTGAGCAATAACAAATGGTGACTTGTCTTCAGCTCAAGTGGAAGGGGATTAGGTTTTGGAACTAAAGGTCCTTGATTCTATTCCAGCTAAGGACAAGTGTGTCTTTGCGTGTGAGTATATAGAACAGAGATTTATTATGGAGGGATGCCTGACAACTGGATTTTAACTGCCATGAATCTCAGACATTGAGGATGAGCTTTGTTTGACTGGAGGAGCATGTAATGTACTGGATGAGTGTATGCAAGTGTGTACACCTAATCACATATATGCCTATATGTGTGTTAATAATATGGTGTCTCTGTATATGTGTTTAAGTACGTTAGTATAGATATTAAATGTTTGCGTACAGGGATATGTGCTTTATGTTACTATGAATGTACATTATGTAAGCATGTCTCTATGTACATTTGACATGTCTGTGTATATATTTTTGCATATTTTAAGGTTGCAGGAATGGATGTGTATGTACACATATATATGCTTGGATGGATAGAAATATAAATATAGGTGTGTGCAATATTAGTGGGTATATAGGTACTGATACTTGTTTGTGCATTGCTATTTGAAGGTATGTGAACAGGTAGCTATTTTGAGGTTTGCATGTATGTGCTCTCCTGTGCAGACATGAGACTGTGCATGGATGTGTGTATGAATCTGAGCTTGTGTGAATGTGGATGGGTATGCATCTCAGGCCATATTTGAGTATGCTTCAAATGTGGGCACCTTGATGGGACAGTCAAATCCAGTGAAGCACATATAGTGGCCATTTAGGCTCTATGTACTAATCTGAGCCTCCATGTATGGGATGTTGATGTCTCACTGGAGTGTCATATTTGAACATTGGACTCCTCAGGTATATCTGAGTCCGTATGAATGTGAGTGTTTCAGTGCGACTGATCTATCCATCTGTATACGTATTTCTACAATGCCTACTACCTAGGTGCCAGGGTATCTCCGCACATCTTCCAGTTCACATGCCTGAGCATGTATGTGAGTCTGTAAGTCTGCATTTGCAGGTCTGAGGCTATAGGTTTGTGACCCGTTGCTGGGGGATCTCAGAGTCCCATGTACGTAGGCAACATGTGTGGCTACCCGTTTGTGGCAATGTGGGCTTTGTGTTTTGTATATTTCTTGCCCAGCAGGGTGTAACTTACGTACAGGCTGCCTGTTTTCTGCGAAGCCCTTCCTCAGGAAGATGCATGCTGGCCCCAGCAGGTTGTGCATGACGGCGCAGTTCTGGGCCAGCATCATGAGTGGACCTTGGTACTCGCAGGCTGACGGCCCCTCTTCACTCGTCTGAACAGCCTTATAGCAGGTCTTCTCCTCATGACGAATCTTCCCAGCCAATCAGCAGCAAGTAAACAATACAACAGAGGAAGTTACCTCCCCATGTCTCTCAGTCTTTGATCTGATGTTTTACTGGGCTGCCTGACAGAGTAATTAGCCCTAAATTTCCTTCATCTTTCCATGCTGGGTCCCTCCCACCAGTCCAGTACAGGCTTGTATAGAAGCAGTAAGTACAGGAGTTCACTGTCAATGGCTGATAAAAGTCCAGCCAACCAGGAAGATTTCACTTTGAAATGACATCAAACTTTCTCAAAGCTGCACACATCCCTCCAGCTACAGATGAAAGGGCCAGGATAGAAAATGAACATGTCCCGTCCCTCCCATCTCCAGCCCCAGAGTGAATGATTTCATGTGTGGCCTGCAAGGGAATAGCACGCTCAGACATAACAGTCTGTGTGTGTACAGAAGGAGATTACTGGGAGAGAAGCTTCTGTCAGGGACCTCCACTGAACAGCAGGCACAGAACCTGCACAGAGAGACTAAGTTTGGCTTCAAGTCACTTTCAGGCAACACAATTCAACAGCTTACAGCTCTGTATTAACACCTGTACCACAGTCATACTAAAACTGTCAGACGGCCGTTTACAGTGTCAGCGAGCTGGGTTCCAGACAATTACAATTCTAATTAGTTACAATAACTGACCGAGCCTATGAAAATTTAGTCTATTCAGGTCACTTACAGTCCCAGTCCCTGCAGCCTTGTCTGCTCTGCATTTTCACAGACCATTCTCAAGGAGTCCACACATCCCAGCCAGTTGGGACTCCAGAATAGAATCTGAGGTTGGAGCTCCAGGCTCCACTGAGGAGCCAATGCTTTCCTTATATAGAAATGCTTTTCTCTGGCTCTGGCGGAAACGTCTCATCCTGGTATTCCCATGCAGCTATAAAAAGCCAGCACTACCCACAGGACCTTTGGTTTTATACAGTAAATATTAACAATCATATTTCTGCTTCAGGAATGAGCTCCTGCTTGTACTGATGGCATTCCCAGAGTTCATCTGGGAGACTTTGTCCACAGCCATTGTCTTTTTATATTGACTCATCCCTTAAATCTTGAACTTCTTCTTTCAGGGCTGAGAAGCAGGCCACATTTGCTCCCCACTCACACTTGCTCACATTTATTGTAGCTATTTGCTGCGTCTGCCATATGTTACTCCATTGCACACATGCTTTGTAGTTTACATTTTTAAACACAGTCTTGAGACAATCTGCTCATGTATAATGTCATGTGACTATCCACCAAAAGCACCAAGACCAATATAACACACACACAAAAATCACAAAAGAAAGGAAATAGCATAACAGGGTTCTAATTGCAATCACAGATGGGAAGGAAACCCTTCACCTGATTATACATGGTGGATGGGGAATTTATCTATACAAATATAAAAGACTAACGTCAATCCACACCTGGCACATCACGGGCGCAGCTAATTGTCTTGACATTTGTGTGATAATGACGTGAACATTTGTCACTTTGATACAACATATTTTGTAAATCACCAGCTTTATTTCCCAGAGTCTTTTTCAATATATAATATGAGAGATTGAAAATATACACGTCAGGCCAAATCTGTCGCAGGGGTAATTCACTGAAACCAAATGAAAGGTGAAAGGTTCCAAAGCCTATTCCTAATCCCTATCTGAGCCACCTAGTCTCTCGATCTTATTATGAAGTCACTGGAGTTCCACGAAGGATGAGATTAGCCCATTATTTTCCTATGTGGACAGAAATCACAAGTCTGAGGAGAGAATTGCCAAGGACACAGAACAGGCTGATCCATAGAACCGCAGGTAGTGCAGGGAAAGGGAATGGGACTTCTCTATCCTAGTGTTACACCATGTGAATCTCCCCTCGCCCATCTGCCTCTAGTGACCCAAGGTCATTTACAGGGCTCACCGAGAACTGCCCTACAAAGCACCGGTTGCTGCTGCTGTCCATTTGCGCCCCCCACCCCAATCTGGTGCTGGAAAGTCTCCCTTCCCTCACGTGTCCCATAAACACATCAAGCCAAAGCAGAGGAGACAGCTCCTCCAACAGAGGGATACAAGGCAAAATGAGGCCAGCCACCTGTTAGTGGCAGAAGCAGCAACACGCAGACCTGAGTACTGATAGAAGCAAGGTAATCGTGAGGAAGGCTCAAGCCCTTTTTCCCTCCCCTCCCCAATAAAAACCCACAGCTGTTCTGGGATGATACAAGCACTTGGCCGGGCTCCTCCAGAGAGGCGGCTGTAGAGCTGGCAAAAGGTGCCAAACTGAGTGACTTGGAGAATGAAGCTTTCTATTTAGCCACTGTAGAGGCAGAAGCAGAGCAGGCTTCCCCACATTCCCCTGCCAATGTGCCTCAGTCCTGACCCCGAGGGACACTCCGGAGTACTGAGATTTATCCCATTTACACCTAGGTGCCTCTGCTGACACTGTCAATTAGTGTCGTGACAGTAGTGTTTACTGCTGTGGGGACACTGGTGCACTCTGCACGAAATAGGGGGCTACCAACAAGAGACTGGACGGGAATGAATTTTGATCACGATCAACCAGAGATGGATGTGAACCAGGGAGGTGGAGGTGAAAAGGTCCATACACCAGTCCCAAACCATACCCCCCGAGCCATCCCGTCCCTCCAGATTATTCTGAACTTTCTGTCTTGTCTGCCAGAGTTCAAAGTAAGCCCGTTCCCTGCTCTCTCAGGACACTTCATATCCACTATTTCCAGGGCTTCCTCCTCTGTCTAAGCTACTCAGGGAAGTCTCAGTTTGTCTGTGTAGAGATCCTCTCTCATATATACACAGCCTCCACAATAAAGAGTGCTGGGAGCACTGCAGTGAGAGAAGCTGCTAGGGAAAGTGTTTGGGTGACAGATGATTATCTGTCACCGAGGCTCTTCTACCCTCTTGCCTCAATTTGAAATGATGCCCCCCCCCATGTTCAAAGAAGTGCAGGAGGCAGCATCTCTGTCATGCAAAATCCATCCTTCCTCTCCCTGAGGGAGGTTTATCAAAAGCAAGAGGCCTCCAGGTTCCTAACCCTGTTCTCCTAGTCACGTTAAAGTCTCTGCTTCCACTCGACAGGCCGCATTTGGAAAGAACAAATGGAGGAGACCAGCAAGAAGAGCGCCCTGCTTGGCATCATTCTAGCCAAGGTGGTTCCTCAGTCTCAGAACAGGACATGAAAACTCAGTGGAGCTGGGGAGAGTGGGAGAAATCTCCCTGACAAAGTCTAGCTCAGCCTATGTCCCATCTCTCCTTTGCCAATGTCAAAACCTGAGGAAGAGAGGAGGAATGTTATACAGAGCGGCAGTCTGAGGTTATGTCATGTAATGGTCTGATCCTGCAAGGTACTCAGTGACTCCAGGCTGCAATGAGGTCAACAGCGGTGTAGGGGACTCAGCACCTCACAGCACTGGGCCCTGAGGCCTTAATATAAGGGCCAAAGTGGAGCTTGCCGAGTTCTATAATGTGGGCTGTGGGCTTCCTCAACTTTAACCCCTTCATTCCTACTCTTTGGAACTATGTGCAGAATACATCACTTTAAATGGCTCTTAGGAATGAAGGATTAAATACAAATAAAGGTAGGGCCTAGACAAGCTACAAGATCCAGAATGCAATGCTCTATTTTGATCTAAGCAGTCAGGGCCCGCTGCATGCTGGGACCTGTATTCTCTGCAAACCACATCTCCACATTAGAGATGAGTGCAGGTACATTCTGTTCCATTTTATGTGCATTGGAGGCAGGCTGCAAATTGCCAGAATGGCCCTTTCACATGTGCAAAGTTTAGGCACTCCAGCTGGCTGAACCCCAAGTGCCTCTCCTGCTTCTTCCCCAGGGTCACACTGACCAAAAGGGAGAGCTCAGCCCTGTCTAGCTGCTTTGGAATGAATTGCCTCATTACATACCCCATAAATCAGCTGGGGCTGCTGGGGTGGGCTCCCTCCCGCACAGCAATGCTCTGTCATTACCAGGAAACACTCCAGATTTAACTTACACTTGTGCCTTGTTTGTGGTAGCTGAGCTTACAGCAGTGAGCTGCCCCACAAAAGTGACAAACCCAAGGCCAGAAAAAATTCACTGCTAGCAAGGCCTCCACGCCGTGAGCTCCCTCATGGCAGGGCCATTTCATGGCTGGGGAGGCCTCCACGCCGTGAGCGTCCTTGTGGCAGGGCCATGGCTGGGGAGGTCTCCACGCTGTGAGCTTCCTCGTGGCAGGGCCATTTCATGGCTGGCAAGGTACTCAGTGACTCCAGACTGCAATGAGCGTCCTCACAGCAGCACCATTTCACTGCTGGTGAGACCTCTGCACTGTGAGCTTCCTCATGGCAGTGCCACTTCATTGCCCACGAGACCTCCTCATCATGGCTTCCTCACAGCAATGCCATTTCACTGCCAGTGAGGCATCCATGCTGTGAGCTCCCTCAGTGCGGTGCACTGTCATTGCCTATTATGACCTTCCCCTTTGTAAGGAACAAGCAGTGCATTTCGTGGTGAATTATTATTTGGTTCAGCATCCCCAAGTGAATTCCTTCCTCCAGCTGGCCTAATGGGCACATTCTATCTCAACACCTTCCTCATCCTGATACGCACAGTGCCCAGGGAGAACTATTCCCATTGCCAATTCAGCCCATAGTGGCAGCACAGCTCCTAAATCTAATTAATCCCTGAACCATTCTGAGACCTAAGCACACAGCAGCCCACAAGTAAAATGCAAACAGACACACATGGCAGTACGGGTGGGTATGAATGTGTACACACATGGGCATGCTTACACATGAGGGAAAGCATGAACACACACACCTGAGCAAACATGGCCAAACACATGCTCATACATGGGCATGCACACACATACCACAGAAAGCAGGCACGCACATATACATAAATACGTGCACAAACCTGGATACATACAAATATGCAAATACACAAATACTCAGATCCACACGTATGTGAGGACACCCAAGAATAAATGCACACATGCAGGCACAAATACACATACACACTTATACATGTGGACACGCACTCATGCATACACTTACCCACACATCCTCACTCACAGATGTTGCACACATATGCATGAGTATGCACACACATTCAGATAGACACACGGAAATGCACACACACGCAACACACATATTCATGTGCTCATTTGCATACACACAGACAGGGACATATGCTAATACATTTGTGTGCTCCCACATTTTCACATGCACGTCTGCACACACATAGAGAAACAACACAAATATCCGCACCTTCCCATGCACACACATTGATAGACAGATACGTCTTAACTTGCACACGTGCATACCCACACAAATGTGTGCACATGCTCACATGTACATATATAACCAAATAATATGTACACAAACACGTGCCCACATGCTTGTGCACATACACATGCCCCACATGCAAGTGGACAAATGCATGTGTATGCACATACAAACACTTACACACATGGATGCAAACATGCCTACTCGCATACTTATACACATATTCACACACCAGCTGTGGCGTTCATCATCACAGGTTCTGAACAGTGTATTTGCATTAACAGCTCTTAGGAAAAGGACTTCTGGAAGGAGCTGAAACCTTTGCAGACAAGTCTGCATGTTCCTCCCACCTTCCCTTCCCATCTACCCGCAACGTCATCCGTCCCAAGAAGCAGGGCTTGAAACACGCACAACGCACTTTGATTCAGGGAACATACCTTTTTCGAGAGGTTTCTCAGTGGAGACTTCACACAGTTGCCCATAATATGTTGAGTCTGCCTTTCCGATGGACTTGGTTATAAAGGAACCGAGGCAATTGATTCCATTAAAGGTATCCTTGGGAGCAAAGCAAGAAAGGCAGCACCAGTCAAATCCAAACAGCTATTGGCTGCTGGGGCTTCCCTCTTCAGGGAGCTTTTTCTCTCTGCCTCTCTCTCTCTCTCTCTCTCTGTGTTTTTACTTTATGTTCACTTTCTTGAAAAGATGAAGCAGGAGGAGAGGGAGGGGGAGAGAAACAGAAAGAGAGAGAAAGAGGAAGAGAGAGAGGGAGGACAGAAAGAGGGAGGCGGAGGTATAATCTACATCAGATTAATGCTCAAATCCCTCCCACCCCCCTCAATCTGCAGTGAAGATTGTTTCACTCATGGGAGAGGGCTGATTCAGGGAAAATTAAAGCAGAGAGGCACCATAAGAAGTGATTTCAATGATGAGTCCAGGGAATCTGGCTACTTTGGGTCCACATAGCCAGTGAACATCTCATTCTGTATCTACCCCCCCCCCCCCCCCCCGGCATTTCCAACTCCTCTGAGCTTTTCAATTACCAAAAAGCCAGGCTAGATGGAAGGCAATCCACTTAGAGGCTTTGAGCAGAGACCGGAGCTCAGACCAGCACAGCAATGGACCATTTATCTGGATGGGACCTGCTCCTGCTCTACAAACAATGGAAGACCTGGGAGCTGGCTCCCTTACTGCTCTTTTCCTGCTATGGCCAAAGCAAGTTGCTGAAGGCAGCAACCCAGTGCCTCTAGACCCCTCTTCACCTCCAGAGAGTAAGTTTTCGTAATGGAGAGACAAAGTGCCAGACAAATGCCAGAGTCTCCCCTGCCTTCTGTACAAAATAACAAACGGTTGGCTTTTCCCTGCACACATGTGAGCAGAGATGGGCCCAACCAAACCCCTGACAGTGCTGGTACTAGCCCATTGGGAGCCCTAAGCAGGAATATTTCTCCTCACACACACACACACACACACACCACATATAATAATGAATAGGGGATCCCCTTGAGCTGCTTGGGGCCCTAAGCAATTGCTTAGTCTGCTTATGCCTAGCACCGACTCTGCCCCTGGATCTGGACTGATCCAAGTTCTGGGGATGTACTGGGAAAAAGTTCAGATTCCAGATCCAAATTTCATAGCCCACTCCATATCTGCAGTGAGCTGAACCAAACACTCAGCTCCAAACACCCTGTAAATCTAAGGCCTCCAACACATATATCTGGATATGAACTGTAAGCCCATCTCTCATTCTAAGGCACATGGAGGTAACAGAATCTTCCTCCTTCCCCACCACAGGGCAATGCAATACCCATCCCTGAAACAATCGGGATTCGAGTCCCAAACAAATTTACTTCTGGCTTGAGAAGGCTGAGAACGTTCAAGGAGGTTTAAATTACAGAAAGGATCCACCACCATCCCATGCAATAGGGCTTTGAATTTAATGGTGGACGCATCCTCAGCTATGAAGCCACCATGGCTGCGGATCCACAAGAATAACTAGACCATGGAATGGAGAGCCGCTTCCATTTATAACTGCAAAGACAGAGATGATGCTGGAGCTGCAGCTTACTTTAGAACATTCATTAATCTGCTCGGAGATTTAGGAGTTCTCACCTACAGCGGAACTGCTGTACGACATTGTTCACAAGTGTGGTTCCAACAACAGCTGTTAAGGGATCCACCCCAGGATCTTAGTCCTTGTGCTGCTGTGCTGGAGACATAGGGTTATTCCCCTTTCATGAGTTCTCACCTGTAGGATTGTAAGAATGGAGAAGGATGAACTGTCAAGGCAACAGCAAAGAAGTAATTTTTCTGCTTTCATACTATCCGGCTGTAGGAAATACTGTAGGATCCCTAGGTGTGAAGAGAATTCACAGCTATTCCACAGCCCTGTGGTCTCTTCAACCAAGAGTCACTTCAAGTATTGGTTTAGGAGCTCTGACTGTGATGGGAGCTGACACCATCTCCAGTAACAGTCCAGCAGGAATTACTCCTCATTCTGCTAGTATTACACAAAGGTGAAATCCCCACACCCTATACCCAGCCTCTCAATGCCCCTTGAGTTCCTTCTCCAGAGCATTCTCTGGGACAGATCCTGCACATGGTTATACCCGCAGCATCTGAAAGACATAGGGCCTTCAAGATGGAAAGTTCACCATGGAGGAAGTTGTGGTGGCAGAAATTGGCCAGAAACTGCCTACCATCCAGGGCAAGTGGGTGTTATCTAACCCTGAAGAGGGGTTTGGGCAGGGAGGATGGGGAAGTACAGATAAGGGCATCTCCTGAGCAGACTCTATGGGCAGAGTCCCTATGGAGCCCTGATGGGAAATTTAGCATCTCTTGCCTCCACATTTCCAATCCCTACAGAACCCCTCCAGGGAGCACAATGCTGGTATCACAGCCCACTCTCCCTTGGAGTAGAGGGGGATTAAGTGGCACAAAGAGCTGTAATTCACCCCTCCCTGCAGCAGTGTCAGTGAATCAGATCTTCTCTCTGTTCTGTCGTTTTGTGGACCACAGTTTGAGAACCACAGATGCAGGGGAAAACTCAGGACCATGTGCCTGTGAGGAAGTTTGCTCCAGTCCCAGTCTCACTCAGCAGGAGAGCTAGAGGAAGCACTAGCCATGGGGGAGCTCCCAGCTCCTCCTCTCCTGTGTATGTGGTTATTGGTTCGAGCCTGCACTGTTCAAAGATGCTAATGAAGTGCTGATCTATACTGGGCCAAGCTGTTGGCCGGTTAATAATGTTCTTTGTCAGCTGGAACCATCTCTGGGCTCCTTGTTTATTGACAAAGTGCCTGTCTCCCTTGAGCAGAAGCTGCCACATAGCAAGTGAGCTGTCTTGGCTCCTTCCTGAGACAAATTACTCCAATTCCAGAGCAAAACTACAAGAGAATCACCTCCCTGCTGCTCATGAATCTCGCTGTGACGGGCAGCATAATGGCCAGGAACACCCCGCAATTGATAAATATCTGCCGCCTGTATTGTCCAAGAGGGGAGGAAACGGAACAATTTATCCAGGCTTCTATCCCCAGAGATGGCCCTGGCATAAGGATGAATCAAATCACCCAAGCTGCTACAGGAGAAAGTGGAAAGGCAGGGAACTGTAGGGGGGACAGGACGGAAGACAGACAGAGCATAGGGCAGGGGTAGTCAATAAGTGGCCCAAGGGCCAAATCTAGACCGCCCAATGCTTTTGAACGGACCATGAAATCTTTTTAACTTATTATCATGATTGTTGGTTTTTTTTTATTATTTTCTCTGGAGTCTGGACCTTGACTATACCTTGACCAAGAAATTCAGACCTTGACAAAAAATAATTGATTACCCCGGTATAGGGGAAGGGCCAAGAGGAGCACTTCCAGATCCGAAAGGGTGTGGTGTGTCCGGGATTAGACCCATTTTGCACTCAGGTGTGCAACATGGGCAAAATCCTAAATCTTCAACCCCTCCCTCTGTATATAGAATTCCTCTAAAGTAAAAGAAACAGAGCACCTGTCCAGCAAGCCTCCAATTTACGATGTAGAGAACCTAAGCCAGTGATACTCAAACTGAGGCTCGTGAGCCGCAAGTGGCTCTTTAATGTGTGTCCTGCAGCTCTTTGCAGCATATGATATTAAAACACTGTATGATTTAATTATTAACCAATCAGGATGCTTTTACTATGTTATTAACCAATTGTAGTTGATAAAACAATAATACTTGGTCAGTCACTTTGCTGGCTCCTGAACCACTGAGGTCTTGAGTATCACTGGCCTAAGCATACCTACTGATGCACATCCTAAGCAGCCGATTCACTTTACAGGCTGTGGTCCGATTCCCAGTCCCATCCCTCGGCACCTCTAGTGATGTGCAATGAGATGTGGCATCAAAGCTGGCAGAAGGGGAATTAAAAAATCTGGAGGGAGGGAGCCAGAAATGCAAAAAGGCCAGTGAAATTTATCTTTACTCCTCCTCTACCTCTGAAGCTGCTGCGCCTAGGAGGAAAAGAAGCCTAGGAGTCTGCAGAAGGATCCGTGTGTACACTAGTGTTTTATGTGGGTGCATATCAGTGGGTGGATTTATGTGGGTGTGGGTGCAGGTAGATGTGTGCATATGTGTTTGCCCACACACATTAGGTTTTCTTTAGAAAAGTCTGGAATTGTTTCATAAAACTTCTTGAAATATTACTGGGCTTTTGTGAGATTCAGTTCTCGCCTGGGTCCTTGCATTCCCACTAAAAATTCCAAGGATGGGGCATGGAGCCTGGCTTGGATGTAGTCTGGCTTGGAGTTTATTATCATGCAGGAAGGAGAAACTTGCTATGGAGACTGACCACGGCATGGAGCAGGAAGGAACCTAGCATGAAGGTTGGGATAGGCCCAGGGTAGGGGGGATGGACTAGATGACAGAATACTGTCATTTTTTCCATCTCTAGATTCTATAATCAGAAGCAATGTTGTTCTTGAGAGAGATGGAGACTAGCGAACTAGGTTTTCACCTGTAATAGCAGCTATCTGTTATAAGACATCCCTTTCTGCTTATGAAGAAAACATGGAACTGACACCTTAGATACAGACATTAAAGAGGTTCTTCTTTCCAAAGAAAAACGTTGCTGTGTACTAGCTCTGATTAGTTCAGTGGCAGCTGCTAGGGGCTACTTCCAGTAGCAGAGACAGCCCCGAGAGAGATCAAAAACCAACTCAGAAATTGAGATGTGAGAGGGGAGGAGGGGAATTTGCTTTGTCAGATTGCAGCCTAGTTTGGCAGCATAGAATAAAATTGTTTCTACTGGGCAAGTAACAGTTTCCAGAGGACAAAGCATTCCTGTTCCTTATCAAATGTCAGGTCCCTTACAATATGTGATCTTTCATCTTCTAGGACAACAGATCAGACCCCTGTTTATGACTGGTATAACAATAATATTAGTGTGGTGGTTTAATCTCTGGTGAGAATATATGTATGAGGGTCAAACTCATCCCCAGTGGACCTCCATTGAAGTCAATGG